GACGGACGACGATGGACAAAAGGCGATCGCAATAGGTCACTTGAGACTTTGTCTCAGGTGACCTAAAAATTTAATTGGAAAATAAACCATGAAATGATTGAGAAGTTAAAAGCCTGCTGGCCTTCACCATGAAGTGTGACTACAGAAAACAAACTGGTTGTTTAACCCATCATCTAGTGTAAACGGCACACATATTTTGTTGTGTTATAACATCATCTAGTGTAAATCGCACACATATTTCATCATCTAGTGTAAATCGCACACATATTTCATCATCTAGTGTAAATAGCACACATATCTTGGTGTGTTATAACATCATTTAGTGTAAATCGCACACATATCTGGGTGTGTTATAACATCATCTAGTCAAAATCGCACACATATTTCGTCATCTAGTGTAAATGGCACACATATCTGGGAGTGTTATAACATCATCTAGTCAAAATCGCACACATATCTGGTTGTGTTATAACATAATCTAGTGTAAATAGCACATATATCTTGGTGTGTTATAACATCATCTCGTGTAAATCGCACACCTATTTCATCATCTAGTGTAACTCGCACACATATTTGGTTTTTTTATAACATCATCTAGTGTAACTCGCACACATATTTCATAATCTAGTGTAAATCGTACACATATTTCATCATCTAGTGTAAATCGCACACATATTTCATCATCTAGTGTAAATCGCACAAATATCTGGGTGTGTTATAACATCATCTAGTGTAAATGGCACACATATCTGGGTGTGTTATAACATCATCTAGTGTAAATCGCACACATATTTGGGTGTGTTATAACATCATCTCTAGACTACAAAACTATACACAAGAGATCCCAGTGGGATCTTGGCGCCCACCATTGTAATATCTTCATTGGTTTATGTCAGTTTGATCTTTTCTCTTCTTTTCTCTAATCTGTTTGATCAAGTAATGTAAACAGGAAATGCACCATTTCACATATTTACTAGTACAGTTTTTTAAATGTAAGGGAATAGATCCGATCATTACATTAATATGCACAACAACAGACCAAGGAGAACCTACATATCAAATTTGAGAAAGATTCCTCCAGAACTTCCTGAGAAATAGCGATAAGTAACATTTACTGTCAAAATCTAAGATGGCGACCTGT